TATTTCACTGTGTATTAAATCACTTCCTGTGTACAGGGATTAGACGACAGATGACCACAGGTAGACAGCTAGCCCCCAAGGCATTCACACCTGTACAAAATAACCACCCGGTAAAAAGTCTCTGCCTTTAACTATAGTATTTTTATTAGGGCACTCCCCAAAACAATTTAATCATTTGACAGCTCATTTATGTTTCGAAACCGTTATTTTGCAGACTTTGAAATATGAAATATTTGAAAAGCAGGTTCCACATAACATCGACAATCTTTTCATCTGTTTTAGCATTGTTAGAAGTATTGATCGATAAGAATCCAACACTTTTCCTTAATGAAGGATATGGAGATAACGCACAGTATTCAATATGATAATCAAAGTTTATAAAACAATACAAAATACGAGCAGAGTAAACACGGACCTCCAAGCTATCAGAGTTGGGATCAGGTGCAATGGAGGAGTAAGCATCCCTTGCCGACCGGTCACATCCGCCGTGTGCTCCTTCTCATGATCGGGAAAGAACGGAAAAATTCGTCGTCAATTCAGTGTATAAATAATGGACTAACAATTAGTATGAAAAACGCCATTCATCATTTGACTCAATGATAAATTGTATTGCATGCTGATGAGGTCATAGAACTTACGAAATGATGACTTAAAACGAGACTGCTAATATTTTTGTTTCATGTGCTTGTTTGTCAATAATTTACCTTAACAAATCATCTGATATGAAATGATACATTGCCAATCTATAATCAAATTCTGTATTTTTCTTCTGCTTCAGGTCAAAAGTATTCAAAAACATTATCTGAATCTCTTTTAATTAACTTTGGATATAAAAATATTTTTCATCTGATTTCATGACTGTTTCGTACAACGGAAAGTTTCGAAGTATCATGACTTTTTATGCCCACAAGTCCATAAATAAAAGGGACGTTCGACCAGCTATTTTTTTGTGTCACTGTTGATGATGAATATCTAAATGGGCTAGATCATATTGTATTTCAGCAGTTGAACTTATGAGTGGATTAATATCCATTGGGCTGCAATGTTAGTATTTTGGATATATTTGTATTGTTTGTGATTTTTTCCAGATCGCTCACTATTGGTTATCTTCACCTTTTACATATCTCCATCGATAACCTTTACCTGATACAGAACACCTTTCTATGAAGAGGGCTTTATGGCAACGCACTTTGAAAAAATTATTCAAAGTCCGTTAAAATTGGGACAAAATCAACGCACTTTGAAAATTTTTTTCAAAGTGCGTTAAAAGTGTACATCAACATTTTTACCATGTGGACATTTAACGCACTTTGAAAAAAATATGTGTAAAACAAAATATCTTGACTTAGATTTTAGTAATTGAGAGAATCTATTTGTAATAATTATATCTTTCGAAAACATTTTAATTTACATGTATTGATTAACTCTCATCGAGAACAAGTAGAAGATGAGTAAGGTCTCTCAGACCAACTCTTTTTTACTTTGGGTACCCAATTGAAAGTGGAACACACCACCACCCCAAGGTAAGTCCCAATTTTTAATTCCTATATTATGTACACTCAACAAAACTTCTAAGTGTTCACTTTAATAAATGAATTTATTTTAAAACTATTGTATAGAATGATGTGATATTTTCAAATTATTACAACAAATGGGTCTTCTCAACAATTATTGAAAGAAAATCAAATATCACCGATGAAAACCAATGTTCCGTGACGAAGCTTAAAAATAATAAAACTGCACTTTGCGGCACGTGTTTTGTGTAATTAGTATCTTTTTGTGATCATTATCAAATTTAAAAAATGGTTTTACTAAAAAAACATAAAACATTGGCAAAATGACTATTGAGATGGAAGAGAGAGCCGTTGGAATGTTGATATCTGGGCAATCTTTGCACCACGTTTTACTCACTTTTATTTTAGTGCTTAATTGTACTTGTTATTACTTTTAAAACTTATGAAACACTATCAAAACCCATTTAAACACATTTTTCTATAGGCTGTGCTCATTTTTCATCACCAATTTATCACAATTTGAAAGTTTTTGACAAAATTTAGCCACACCGGAAGTGACCTTGAACTTCGTCAGAGACCAAAATTTCGCGTCACACCATGTTAAAAGAGTGTTAAATTGCTGTGAAACAATCTTAAAAACATGAAAACAAACAATTTCAATCGTACGAAAATGTTAAGAAATCGCTGCTTGTGACGGTCTAATTTTAATTAGCTCAAGCAGTCTGAATTATTCTTAAAGAGGCCACTTACGTGCTGAACACCCTAGGATATTGACCACAAGACATGTGTGATGCTACCCTCTCAAATTCCGGATCTGAATCCCATTTAACACATTTGGGATTTTATAAGAAATGTCAACCCCCCCTTTTTTTCCACGCAATTTCAATGGTTTGAAAAGATCTAGACAGAAGGTATGGCAGCAGATGCGTCAATCTCCTATTCAGGGGTACAAGGTACTCAACTGTAATTACAGTCTTGTAGTAATTAGAGTGAGTGGTGGTCTTACTCCATAGAGCTTTTTGTGTGAATTTTTATTTTGAGGTTACTTCGTTTCCTTGACACTTTGCGAAAAATTTTGTAGAGATACTTAGATGAAATTTATGCAACATCCAACTTAAATATGCATCATTAATCAGGAAAAAAAGAAATTATTTACTGTTTGCATTTGTTCTCTAAAACTTCAGAAATGTCAGGTGAACACTTAGAAGTTTGGTTCAGTGTATATCTTTGCAAACCATTTGTGTGACTAACCCCCCCCCCCCCCGGTACAGATGCCTATGCTACCGCCAAATATATGTACTTGGACAATTGGTGTGACGTTGAAAACTTTCAATAAATTTTAGTTTTCATTAAAGCATGTAAACTGGAAAAAAATAAGTACAGTAAACATATGAGAGAAAGAATTTTCAAAGTATGGAAAAATCCAAATCGCTCACTTTTACATCCTGAAGTGACCTTATCACTGAAAAGTTATCCAAAAAGTTTAATTTATTTACAATGTATCATACCTAAGATTTTCAAGAATATTGACCAAGCCATACACATTTTTTTTCAAAGTGCGTTAATATGGTCGATATCAACGCACTTTGAAAAGAAATTTTATTTTTTCAAAGTGCGTTGATTTGGTCCCAAATTTAACGCACTTTGAAAATAAAATTCAAAGTGCGTAATTTTTCAAAGTGCGGTGTAACAGGGCTTATATAGGCAATTCTTGCTGACTAATCTGTCTGTGTTTGAAACATAAAACAATAATATCAAAAAATTCTTAACTCAAAAGAATAGGCATTAAATCTTATTAATGAACATAGGACTGTGTTTGTTAACAAGAACTGAATTTGCCTGTATGAGGGATCAAAATAGGTTTAATGCTTTTTAAATTCTTTATAATAAATAAGGATCGTTTTGTGCAGAGAGTGTATTCACCAGAATTTGAATTGAAACATGTGAGTAAGACACAGCAGAAAAGAAATGGTAAAAATTGTCAGTGACAAAGCGCAATTGGTATAAACATTTTTGACTGCACATTAATTATCTGCAGGAAAGACAATTATTTGATCAAGGTAATACAAATGTAATGACGTTACATATTGAAAATTAACGAAGGACGGAATAAAAGCAGTATCTAATATGTCCATTTTCAAGACAAGGGCAAACCATTTCTGTTCCATTCAATGCTTTTAATTTTATTTAAAACATTAGTATAACTAGTATTAATTGTATAATATGGCCTATGACATTCAAATAAGTTACCTGTAATTGTCCAATTTTTTTAAATGTCTTTTATAAAGCATCATTGAGTGTATTAAATAATTTATTTTACGTCTACATTTACTTAGTAAGTTATTGGATTAAGAAAACACAACTAATATACAAATACATGTAAATATTTAAAGTATTGAACCCAACATGTTTCAAAATGTCATTAAATATGTAAAATGCAATTTTTCTAATAAATGAGGAAATGAGGATTTCAATTCACAATAAATTCGAAGACTTAAATTTGAAAGAAGTCTATTTAACTCTATTTTGCACAAACACACGCGGATATATAACTTTTTCTTTTTAATGCCTTCCTGGAAGAATATAAAACGCTCTTTTTTCTTTACTCGCACTTGTAGTATATAATACTTTCTATATAATATGACGAATTGCAGGTTTTCAATACTTGCACGATTGTACATGAAGGATGTAGTACGCATTAACTCAGTACCTAGAATATAAATAACACATGTATTAAACAATACAAACAATTTTTCATGATTGTTTGTATTAATGATTTACTGAAGAAAAATATACAAGCTGCTTTGTTACGTTTGGAACCATCTGACCGGTGCTAGGAAAAATATAAAATTGATGTCTGTTATAATTATCTGTCGACATGTTATTAATTATCGGTAGACACGTAATGTATACCTTAGATCTACAAAAAATCATGTACATGTAGATCTAAATTATCATTAGTAATGATACTTTCGACATACCCGATCATTTTTATAAAAAAAATAAATTCTAAAATAAGAACAAAAAACATCAGGGAAAGTATATTACTATATGCGAAGGAATAACCTTAAAACTGCTGTTTTAATCATAAAATGTATATTTTGATAAACATGCATTTTATTTGATTTTTTTCTCATAATTTTTTAACAGTGTCCAATTCTAAGGCCGCTTATGTCTAATTAAAAGTATGATGTGATATGGCGTGCAATAATTTGCTTAATCATTCTGTGATTGAAATTCACCAGTTACTTGATATTTTATTAATTCACGTTTAATTGATGGTGAATTATATGTACACAACAAAGACTGGCCATTTACGCAGTCTGACAAAAAACTACCTCCATCAAGACAGTTAGACAATAGAAAACATGTATTGTCATGCCATTGTCGTGTTCTTATTACCATTTCTCGATATACATAGTAATGTTAGTTATAAATTATATTTATTTTGATAGTTCTGCATATTTATTTCAGACAATAATTCTGTTACAATTTAAATCCAGTGAATGATGACCAGTCAGCATAAGCATACTTTCCATATGTTCCATGTGTTCGTATCCAGACTTCGTCTTTCCTCTTCATTTTTATAACAGCTGATGAAGTTCCGGACGCCATGTGAGAACTGCCTGACTCACCATTGACATGATTATAACCCAGACGTTTACCATTGAGAACAATTTCAGTGTGGAATTGTTTTCCACCCTTTGTCACGTTCGTCCACATAAATGAGTACAGACCATCTTCAGGCGCTGTAAATTTACCGGTGTTTGCGTTATAGGCATTTCCAGAGTTTTGTGTTACTTTCCCAAAAACAACAACAGCGAAGTTACCAAGGTTTGCCTGATCTTTCGACATCAGTGCATGAAAAGCAATGTTTTCTATCAGAATAAATAATGCAGATAATCATTTAAGTGTACCTTGTAACAGACGATTAAATCTTAGATTATTTTTGTTTTTGCGATTTGCTTTTTTGATATTTCTGTAAACATGATAAAATGAATGGCATAAACTTAATAATGAAAACAGCCCTCTGAATTTACTTTTTCTATATTCAGCTTCCCTAATTAGTAAAGCTATATACCCATATCATCTCCATATTTAGTTTAAGTCTCCCATTTGATTCGATACATAAAATCAAGCTCTACGTTCGATTAGTTTTTTTTATAAACGAGGCAAGCAATGGGCAAACAATTTGACGAAAAAGAATATCAAAAGCCTAGTTAAACATAATCATTTTACAAGTTCTATTGTCGATGTATCCAAGCTGGCTTTAAGCCAGCACATAGATATATCTGGAATTTTTTATTTTCGATTGTTCTATTTTCATTTGTTATTTCATTCTTAATTTATTTATTCTGAAAATCATAGGTAGAATTACTCGAAGATAGCACTCTCGAATAATTTGTTTTGAATATCACTATCGTAATATAAGAACATACTATTTTGATTTAAATAAGTAATACACAATCTACTCAGTATTAAACCTACAATTACAATAAAACGTAGGAGCAGAGCAAACACGGAACTCCAAAAGATTGGAGGTGGGACCAGATGCCATGGAGGAGTGAGTGTCCCCTGCTGAGAGGTCACAACCGCCGTTTGCTCCTTGTCCTGACCGGGAAATAACGAAAAAATCCGTCGTCAATTCATTGTATTAATAATGTACTGGCATAAAGAATGAAAACGTCAGTCAGCATTTGAATCAGGGATAGATTGTATTAGCTGATAATTTTATCAATTTATCGACCATAGAACTTACAAAATAGTGAACTAAAATTACACAGCTGACATTCTTGTTTCATCAACTTGCTTTCGATAATTTACATCGTTTTAGAAATCGTTCATACGTAGAGCATGTTCTTGCGTATCGAATTTACTGAGATATATACACTCCGTATGCAGGTGATGAAGGTATATTGCTGCATACTTAAGGAAAGTTGGCGATAGAAAAGTCATCTTGTGTATCATATAGCTTGTCAATTTAGTGTATATAATAGACTATTATAATTAGTATGAAAAACGTCAGTCAGCATTTGACTATGAGTGGGTTCGAGTCGCTGAGTTTAACTGCTGAATACATCATTCTAAATAATTTCAAAAAGCAAATCATGGTCACATATTGAACTTTATTGTTTATTGACAGTTATAATTATGCATAGATTTTGTGGTCACATACGACGTTAGCTAACCACATAACGAAAAATATCATTAGCACGAATCGTCGTGGTCAGACAGAAATTAGAAACATTGCAAGTTAACACAAGATACATGGTGTGTGTTTTGATTTAGTAAGTTTATCTAAGCGTTTGTGATAATTAATTTAAAAACTAAAACAAAAGTATTTCAATAAAAGTATTTAATTAAATACCTTTTTTCTATTCCTGAACAGTTTTTAGTTCTATATCCCATCCCTCTACAAACTGTGTTGTATTTGTTGTATTTATCAATGAAGTCTTGCGTGCCTTCTTTTGCCCAGACTTCAGGCAGTATGCATACAACAAGAACAATGGCTTTCAGCATACTCATCCTATCAAAAGGCATTGTTAAAGAAAAGAAATTTATTTCAAGATACATTTCCAATCGTTCAGGCGACATCATATAGTCTGTTTCCTATACAACTACATAACAGATGTGTGAATAATAACTTACCTATATGATATCATTTTACGTTGAAAGATTTCTGTTTGCTACCAAATTTAGCCTTACCTTTATAGTCTCTGTTTCTATATATCATAAACAAAGTATTTAAAAGGTAATTTGAGAATTGTAATCCTCTTTCAATTTAAATTTTTATATATAAACGTATTATTCACGATTTCAGATATTTATAAATTAAGCGGTGTGTAAATGTGAATTTTGTTTCCTACATTTTTTTATTATATAAGGTTTAATTTTAGAAAAGAACATAACTTTTATGATCAAGTCAAAAATATTTTTGAAACGTTGATTATGTAACTTCTTTTCATATGTAATAAGTTTTTTGTAATATCTTAAGGTATGAATCATTTTGACAAGGGTAGTATTTGGGATACTTTAAATTGAAACGTGTTTTCTACGGTTACCGTAATTAAATCAAGTATGAATGTGTAATTTACTAAATGGATGTAAGACTCAATTTTAATTAATCAACCAATGCCTCAATAACGTGTCTTCAAGAAAATGAGAGCGTATGAATGTGTCCTTCTTCCGTTCTGAGAATTTTCAATAGACACGATGACTTATGAAAAACTCATAATCTTCCAGGGTTTTCAATCCATTTTCATGTAAACGATATCTTTCTCTGCTATTTTTCAGTCGTTGAGATTACTTCTTGTCGGTATATGAAATTATAAAAATACTATTATTTTATTTCACATTTATTTCATTTGTATTTTTAAACATGGTCCAAAGAGGGCAATCTGTTTTCTTTTACAAAAAGAATATTGAAGATATATATCATTTTCACGGAGTAAATATTTGAAAACTTCTTTGTTATTTGAAAAATATTTTAATTTTATTTCAGTAATACTTTTCATACGTAGAGGGGAAATCTCTAAACTTTAACAAAATCAGGAAAATATTTAATATATCGAAATCTTGTAAAACGCCTTAATTCATGTTTTATAATTAGTTGATCATGAAAATAGGTCAGGGACATAAAGTTTAATTATTGATACATGTAGGTCAAGTGCCTTGTTTTGAATAAGAATGGTACATAACTTTTTTATCAAAACGAAAATATGGACAAGAAGTTGAATACGTAATTATAATTCATGTTGAAGTAAGTAGTTAAATACCTAAAGTTACAAATCATTTTCACAGAAATGATACATGTGTTTGAAAAGTTACATTTGTAGGAAAAGTTGTCCGTTGTAATTAAATTAAGTTTAGGACAGCTTAGTTCATCTATAAAATTCTCGTTCGTCCTTCTTCTAGAACAAGGCAGTTTACATAGATAGGACTTTCACATTTACAAATGAAACAAAAAATCCAATAAATCTGCCTTGAAAATTGATTTCAAAACTAAACGGGTGCAATATTTTACTACCAAAGTAAAACAGAAATTCGTGATTTATGGTATTTACTACTGTATAATTTTATCGATTAATTGTACATTTCTGATATTAAACACTGCTTTTTTTTATGTAGCAGGTTGGCTGAAAAAATAAACACGCAACATCCTACGGCTATAAAAAGAAGATATATTCAGGCTTCCTTAATCTTCTGAGTAAAAAAAAATCCGTCCGAGAGAAATATAGAGGGAAATACCATGAAAACAACTTATAACTGAGTTCAATAATCAATTCCTGTTTTTCGATCCCTTCTAATGTTTTGAGCCGTTGTTGTTAACAATGCATAGATAGATATACAGGTAGTTTTTGTTTTATATTCTTATCCAGCACCTTTCAAAATGATATTTTTTTCAGTCAAAAATGTATGAGGAATACCATCTATGAACAACTGACCGATATACAAGGAAAGCAACAAAGAATAAAAAAAAAACATGTGGCTATTTAAATGTTTCATCAATCTGACGAGTAAAATGAATCTGTTTGTGAGAAATATAGAAAGTTATATCAGACAAATAATGGAAAGCTAAAAAACAATAACCCAGTCCTGTTTGTCAGACCGATCTAATGATATAAACAATATTTTAAACATTGTAAAGATTCATATAATTTTTTTGTAATTTTCAATCTACCACTTCCTAAAGAGATCAATCTAATGTCATGAAACACTATTATTTACAATGTGGAGATGAACAAAGCATTTTCTTTGAATTTCATTCCATGATTGGTAAATACATGTGAAAGTCGAAAACTAGTAAACCATCTGCGTAAGAAATAATATTGTAAAGCCAAATTAAATTTGAATTGCATGTGAATATTCAATTCAGCTTTATGTGCAATCAAAATCATGGAGACTTTCAAAGATTGTTTAGAAGAAAGAAACTGATTTTTTTTAAATCCTTAATTAAATACCACATTGATCATTGTTCACACATAACATTACATACTTATAAATTTTTTTATATAAATAACCTAAATTTAATAACATCAGAATATCAAATTAAGTATATGGTTTTCTTCAATTGCTCCATCTGCTTTCACATTTGGTAGGTCTTTTAAAAGCTAAATACGATTAGTAAATAACAAAGATCTATATTTATCCGCAATATTACAATACACTTTCTTTAAATTCACAGCTCCTATATTTTTGTTGTTCTTTTTGTCTTGGTTCAATGAAAACAGACAGAGGTATTTTGCATAGCTAACTAATGCGCTATTATAAAACTTTCGGAAGCGAATGTGCCTTTTTGAAAGCAGAGTTCAGCTTTAAATTTTAATTGTTTGGAACCTAATTTATGCAATTTTAAGTTTTGTAAAGACTGTGAATGATTTTGTTAGATGATAAATAAAAATAAATAAACAAGAATCATATAATATCTTTAACAGTGACCTTTATCTGACGCAAAACACTTTTGATGGAAAAGATTTATAATTATCGTTAATGGCTGCTGCCTAATCTAACATTGCGTTTTTAACGATACAAAGTACGCCCATTTACACTTCTAAGAGTTAAACATTTATAAATGCACAAAACAAACGGTATTCGAGCTAAAAGTCCATTTAATCAACAAAACAAATTTTGGAACAGAGCAAAAACACGGACCTCTAAAACATCAAAGGTGGGATCAAGTGAAAATGGTCAAACAAAAATCTCTGGATTCAGAAAAAGTTCTGCATATTTATTTACAGATTACAATTCAATCATAGTTAATCATATAATACATGTAGAGGGAAAATTATCATATCAGTATTAATTCATAGGGACCAATATTTATTTGAATGCAAAATTTTTATATATAGATCGTG